GTCCCTCCCCCTTAAGCCAGTACTGCCGGGGCCCCGCTGAATTTTTGCTGGAAAATTTTGGAGATCCGGGGGTTTGGGGAGAATGACATATGGTAAGATGAAACCAAATAGAACTTTTTGGAGAAACAAAACTTTCGTTTTTGAGGAAGAGAATGCGAGTTGCACCCAAAGAAACACCATCCCTACTGGAAGCTGGGGGGGGCAACATCATTTTTGGGGCTGTTTCCTTGCAAACGACCGGGACAAGTGATCCATGTACAGGACAAAATAAGGGCCATGTATTGTGAATTTTGAGTGCAAACCCTCCTTTCCATAGCAAGGAATGAAGATGAAATGTGGCGGGTTTTCCCAAAACTGAAAATGATCCCAAACAACCGCCCGGGGCAAAAAAGGAGGGCTTCAAAGAAGCATTTAAAGGTCCTGGAGTGGCCTAGCCAGTCCCAGTCTCAACCCATAGAAAACCTTGGGGGAGTTGAAAGTCCGTTTTTGCCCACGACAGCCCAAAACATCACTGTCTAGAGGAATCTGCATGGGGGATGGGCCAACATACCAGCAACAGTGTGTGCCAACCTTGTAAGATTTCAGGAAACTTTTACCTCTGTCATTGCCAAAAAAGGGATTATAACAAAGTATTGAAAAATAAACTTTTGATATTGACCAAATACTTTTTCCACCATAATTTGCAAAAAATTTTTTCCAAAATCACCCAAATGGGATTGTCGGGATTTTTTTTCCCTCATTTTGTCTCTCATATTTGAGGTCTACCTATGATGCCAATTACAGGCCTCTCCATTTTTTTTAAGTGGGAGAATTTGCAAAATTTGGGCTGAAAAAAATATTTTTTTTGCCCCACGTATATATTGCAATTTGAAATACATTTTTTATATTTAAAAATATATGGAAAATATTTTTTAAGTTTAATTTTTTTTTAAAAATATTCCAGATTTTTTTTTTTTCATATATTTGTAAATGCATTCCAAAGAGTACATTGAAGTATTTTTAGAAACATACAGTATATTTAAAATTTATTTATTAAAAATTATTTTTCTATATTTTTGTAATAAAAATGCATTTCAACATACAGTATATATACTGTATATATATATAATTTAGAGAAATATATATATATATCGAATACGTCCAACATGTAGAATGTCAAATAATTTCCATAATGATTTTGGGAAAGAACATTTTTTAAATATATTTAAATTATATTTTTCTTCCATGTTGTTCCCACTCGCAGCTGCAAGCACGCAATCGGAATCCTTCATGATGGAGAGTGGGGGGGAAGGTCCAATAAATAGTCCATTTACCAGTCCCCTCCCTTTCCTTCCTAGAATGAATGCAATGCGTGATTGCTACAATATCACTCACTGTGTTCATTTCATAACTGTAGTCATAGTTAAACTGTGTTTTGGTTTTTTAGGGGGGAGAGGGCTTTCAGGTTAAGCTGTGTGGGGTTGGTTACTAACAGCAGGTCCCTGGTAAAATCGCCATTTCCTTGTCAACATTTCAATAGTAAAATTAAAAAAACTGTAAGAATATTAACAGAGTTGCTGTAGTAAGTTTTTATACATCGTACATGTGCCACTTCACAGGCAGGTTAAGAGCATCCCCCCCAGCATTTTTATTTTAAAGGAACTTTGCTTTTTTAATATTTTATTATTTCACATTAAGCATTAAAAATCCTACAATCCTACAATCCTAAAACTGTATTTTTTATTTTAATATGAATACATTTCCCAGGGCAGTACCCAACTCCCCTCCACCTTTCCCCATCCAATGCCATTTGTTTGAAAATCCATTTGCCTATAGCCTTGAAAAGGGCCAGAACTGTTTTTTGAATATTCTGCTCCCATTGACTTTAAAAGGGTTTGGATCGAATGTTCAGTTAACTTCAGCCACATTTGGAACCGAACCAAGGTACACACAAAGCTCATTCACATAATTACAATGTAACATCCCTTTATACATGAAAAAATACATAATGTAGCATCATGCAGTGCAATGCAAAAACCCATACTATCACTCCTCACGCACACGGGGCGTTTTTATAACGCTGGTAGCATTAGCTAGTGTAAAGTCACAGTTTAAAAATAGTTGTTTTTCAGTTTTTTTTTAGCGTTTTTGCACAAGCGTTTTAGGCAGCGTTTTAACCGCATTTGGCGGTTTTTTTAGTGTTTTTTTTTTTACCAAGAAAAAAAATTGGGGGGGGGGTTTTGGGGGGGGGGGTATATCAACTGTCCAAAAACACCCAGATTTGGTTGCGCGGATTAACCAACGTTTTGCAACGTTTTTCAGTGGTAGGAGTTTTTTAATAATTACAGCTAAAACACTCCTCTAGAAGCCCCACTAGTTCAGGCTCTTTTTTCCAACCAAAAAACGTCCCAGCCAAAAAAATGTTGATTCCAGTCCTTATGTGTGCATGGACACAAAGGATAACATGCCGGGGATGGACACACAGGAAGAACATGCCGGGGATGGACACGTAGGAATAACATGCGGGGGATGGACACACATGAGGAACATGCCGGGGATGGACACCTAGGAGAACAAGCCGGGATGGACACGTAGGATAACATGCCGGGGATGGACAATAGGATAACACGCCGGGGATGGACACCGTAGGATAACATGCCGGGGATGGACACACAGGAGAACATGCCGGGGATGGAGACACATAGATAACATGCCACGGGGATGGGACACGAGGATAACACGTCCGGGGCTAGGACACGTAGGATAACATGCAGGGATTGGACAACATAGGATAACATGGCCGGGGGATGACACGTAGATAACATTGTGATGGACACATAGATACCCAGGCCGGGGATGGACACATAGGAGATAACATGCCGGGGATGGACACCTAGGATAACATGCCGGGGATGGACACATAGGATAACATGCCAAGGGGATGACACATAGGATAAATGAAACATGCCGGGGATGGACACCTAGGAGACCATGCCAGGAGATGGACACGTAGGAGAACATGCCGGGGATGGGACACACTAGGATACACGCTGGGGATGACACATAGGATAACACGCGGGATATGGACACACTAGGAGATACATGCGCCGGGGATGGACACACTATGGATAAAACACGCCGGGATGGACACACTAGGAGAACATGCCGGGGATGGACACATAGGAGAACATGCCGGGATGCACACACTGGAGACATGCCGGGGATGGACACACAGGAGAACATGCCGGGGATGGACACTAGGAGAACATGCTGGGGGATGGACATAGGATAACATGCTGGGGATGGACACATAGGATAACACGCCGGGGATGGACACATAGGATAACACGCCGGGGATGGACACATAGGATAACATGCCGGGGATGGACACATAGGATAACATGCCGGGGATGGGACACATAGGATAACATGCCGGGGATGGACACATAGGATAACATGCCGGGGATGGACACACTAGGATAACATGCCGGGGATGGACACATAGGAGAACATGCCGGGGATGGACACATAGGAGAACATGCTGGGGGATGGACACATAGGAGAACATGCCGGGGATGGACACATAGGAGAACATGCCAGGGATGGACACATAGGATAACACGCCGGGGATGGACACATAGAGATAACACGCCGGGGATTGACACATAGGATAACACGCCGGGATGGACACACAGGGATAAACACGCCGGGGATGGACACATAGGATAACATGCCGGGGATGAACACATAGGATAACATGCCGGGGATGGACACATAGGATAACATGCCGGGGATGGACACATAGGATAACATGCCGGGGATGGACACATAGGATAACATGCCAGGGATGGACACATAGGATAACATGCCGGGGATGGACACATAGGATAACATGCCGGGATGGACACATAGGATAACATGCGGGGATGGACACATAGGAGAACATGCCGGGGATGGACACATAGGATAACATGCCGGGGATGGACACATAGGATAACATGCCGGGGATGGACACATAGGATAACACGCCGGGGATGGACACACTGGATAACATGCCGGGGATGGACACATAGGATAACATTGCCGGGGATGGACACATAGGATAACATGCCGGGGATGGACACACTGGATAAACATGCCGGGGATGGACACATAGGATAACATGCCGGGGATGGACACATAGGATAACATGCCGGGGATGGACACATAGGATAACATGCCGGGGATGGACACATAGGAGAACATGCCGGGGATGGACACATAGGAGAACATGCCGGGGATGGACACATAGGAGAACATGCCGGGGATGGACACATAGGATAACATGCCGGGGATGGACACATAGAGAACATGCTGGGGATGGACACATAGGATAACATGCCGGGGATGGACACATAGGAGAACATGCCGGGGATGGACACACAGGATAACATGCCGGGGATGGACACACCGTGATAACATGCCGGGGATGGACACATAGGATAACATGGCCGGGGATGGACACACAGGATAACATGCCGGGGATGGACACGTAGGATAACATGCTGGAAGGTTTACTGGCTGTAGAAAAATACGTCAAAAGCCCAAAAACAGCCGCTGTAAAAAAACATCCCGTATGCTTGAGGACTGAGGTTCCGTTCACATATATGCATTTTCCGTCTGATGCTTTCTCCAGTGCAGTTTGCAGTTTGTTTTGCGTTTTTCTACACACACATTTTTGACACATTTTTGATGTGTTTTTACTGTATTTTGTTCAACTCTTTTTTTTTTTAAAGAGGGTTTTTTTAGTTTGCTGGGCAGGTTTAAAAATGCAAAACGCAAAATGCGGAAAAATGCACTACCATGCAGGTCAGCAGATTCTCCATTGAAATCTTCTGCTGCTTTTTGCTTTTGAAAAGGTCCCCAACCCTTTCCTCAAAACGTAACAGCTCAAAAAAAGCATCAATGTGAACATGTTCCATAGGATGCCAAGGGTGGGTTCTGGACAGCAGGTACATTTCTCCACTATTTGGGTTGTGGTCCCTTTAAGGGGTGGAGGTGGAGCAATTTGAAGACATTGTTGAGCACTTAGGGGTTCCAGGTAGGGGCAGGGAGAGAGGTTCCAGGGTAGTCCAGTTGGAGTGGAGAGGACTGATTTTCAGTACTCTCAGGACTGGTAGGTCCACAGTAGGGACCCAGAATTTTGAAGGTTTAACCAGTTCTTCACCGCTCTATAGTAGAAGAACTGCTACAGGGGCGGCAGGGCTAACGCAAAATCATGTTAAATGGACTGTAGTGCGTTTCTGCAAAAAGCACAAAAAAACGCATCGGGTATGATTGGAACCTCTCTTATTCGCTCTCTTTTGGTCTAAATAATATACCATTGGAAGTGATTTGTTATATCTGTTTGATATGTGCAAAGAAATATAATCATTGGTCCTACCAGAAATCCAGACATGTCCTGTTTACTGTAAGGAGTCCGAATCAACTCTGCCTAGCTTTTGTCCTTGGACTACATGAACATCTCCTCTTATGTTGTAGAGATAATGAGAGAGGGAGGTATTCTGTAGTTAAAGGAGAAGTACAGGCCCAAAGCTCGTTTTGGCTGTATTTCTGTGAATCACTGGAGTAAAGTTCGTTCTGCACTCTTGTGACCTGTTTTTAGCTTGACAGCGGGCTGAAGTCTAACTGTCGGCTGACGTCACTCACCTGTCCAGGCTGGGGAAAGATCCTGACTTATAAACCCCTTCCTGCCGGTTGTCTCCCGGCCCTTTAAGGAGTTTCAGAAGCCGAGGGAGAGGCGGGACGGGCGCCGCTAGGGTGGGCACGTCGGGGTTTAGGGATCCAAGTGACCACTGTGACGCTGTCATGGTGGTTCACATGATCGGGAAATGTCCGCATCGAAAAGAGAAGACCGGGACCTTTCCGTGAGTACCGGACATGCGTGCTGGGAGCGCTCCGCTCAGACACATTTGTTTAAATAATTGAACACAAATGTGCGGCGCCGCTTGGCGGTCTAGGCCCATACATCGGAGACCGCACATTTTTAGTGCAGAGCCGGTGTGAAGGAAGGTTAAAGTCAGAATCCACCCCAGAGTCTGGAGCATCACTCTGAGCTCAGCCGCTTCAGCGATCTGCTGAATAGCCTAAGCAGCTGCACACGTCCCCCTCCACATTCCAAGTGGTCCAAGAGAAACTAGAGGTGGGGATGAAGCAGAGAGCGGTGACCTTGTTCAGTCACAGCGTCTCTGCTCAGAACACGCTAGTGACAACTTCATGACATTGTTATTGCTGAAGTTTCTCACCTTTAGAGTCAGTGGGGGACAGATGCAGCATTGGACCTATGTATGCATCAACCTAGGTAAGTAATAAATGGGGGAAAAAAAAGCCAAACTTCATTTTTAAAGAGGTAGGTTCAAGTCTGTAAAAAAATAATTCAAAGTCAGTCAGCCTACAAATTCTGTAGCTGTTTGATCCAGGAGCAGACTGACCACTCAAGGGCCCCCGGGCACTAGTAGAAAGATCCATGGGGCCACCTTGTGATCCTTGCCCAAATTCAAAAAAACCTATGAAAAAGGTACCAGGGGCATCTCATGGGGCCTCCTACTGACCCCGTCCTTTTGGGCCAGTGGCTCGATTTTCCCAAATGGTCAGTCCGCCCCTGCTGTTGACTATTAATCAAATTGCCACTTACGCGATTCCAAAGATCCAGCACGCGTCCTCACCTGGGATAGTCCTTACACTATCCTCTTGGATCTTGGCACTGGCAACCTAACTGTGGGCACCAGCTCGGCTTCGGGTTCACACCCCCCCGCCCATGCGCATGCGGAGCACAGGCTTTGTGAATGGTGCATGGGCCTTTTACGTTCCCCGAAGATGAAGGGGGAGGGGGGGAAAGGGGAAA